ATTTTATATGTGTATAAATGTTAAAAAGATTACTTCGAATCAACACGTCGATACGGCTGCAGCGCCGCAGGCACTAGCAATTTTCGTGAAAGCTTTTTAAAGTATTATTGTAAACAGTAGAATCTAGATTATTTATATGGAAATGCTATTTTACGTGATCTTTTATTTATTTTTGTAATGAAGTGTTTTTATTAGACCGTAGCAATTCCCTTAAGTAACCACATACCTGGTTGGACAAGAGACTTAACCCACTTTTAAAATATTTTTTAAGGCAAAATATCAGGTTATTTACCTAAATTGTCAATGCCCCATAACTTTCAAAATAAACTGTGCGTTATACGGACTATACAATTAAAGGTTTACATAACATGGCAGACTAATTGCAATCCTCACGCAGTTTCAACATTAGTTGAAACTTACCAACTTAAACATCCTAAGAATGCCATAGAACGAACTAGGATCGTTGCTCTTTAGTCGCGTTTACGAGTACAATATGAACAAGGTAGTAAACACACCATAATTTACATAAACCCTTCATCGAGGCTAGGGTATTTAATGTAGGTGCTTTACAGTTGAGAGAACAAATTCACTAATAGTTTGATAGCCGTATAACTCCGGGAATGCTCCGAGCTGAGCTGCGGCAAATTAAAGCGGGCCTGGCTTCGTCACGAGCCACGACCTACATTGACATCATTACTTACTTTATTACGCGGAGGCTACAACTAGCGCAGCTTTGCATTTTATGGGCAACTTATTTTCTATGAACATTTAAATGGGGCATGTGAGTTCATGGCTTGGGTGATATCTTGACCTTTCACTTAAGACGCTCATGCTCCTAATCAAAGAGGTCGAAACTCGAAAGATATGTAAATGTTGTAAAGGGGGACTTCCTTTATATACCTCTATGTTATACGAGACGGTTTCCAAATGTCAGTCCCAATTCTAGATTCGGTATTATTGCTAAGAAGGGACATATTAATTTACGAATCGAAAAGCACAACAATACGTTACCGGATTCGGGTTCTCGACCAACGACAGCTAGTCTCGACGATTTATTACACAAAGTACGATGTATTTAGACCCTACGTTTGACGAATAAGGATAGGGATATTTGCCGGACATAAAGTCAACGAATGAACTAAGGATTAGAACACTGATAAATATTCAGGCTTTTCTGATCGTACTCTAGGAATGAACTGTAATGTATAAGTTACTATGCTTTTTTTTTCAAAGCATCTAAGATCATCCTGTAGAAAGTTGTTCTTATTATGTATATCCAATGTATTATATAGGGAGATACTATTTATTTCAAAAACTTATCGTGAACTAGTCGTAGAATAATCGCGTCGTATCGTCCTCGCAATGTGTAAATGTTCTAACAGCACTCATTCATTACGAGCTCGTCGTAAACGCGATGAGAACATGTTGTGATGAAAATGTCCAACCATTCTGTGTGATTGAAACTTTAGCCATTTTATTCTTTACTCTTGCTTATGTATTTAATATTCATATAATATTCATTCACATATTCAATTCATCTGTAATTTTTAACAAAGTGTAGCAAGAATTACATAAAAGTTTATTCTTTCTAAAGGAACATAATTCTATAATCTATTTACGAAATTAGACGGTTCTTTAATTAAAGTTGTTTAATTCCTTCCCGAAAATAATTTTCATTTTAGTAAGAAAATTGAGGTAAATCCTTCCCTCGCAAAATGCTAGACTTTAGACAGAAATCTATTGTTGTTGGCCTCTTACATTGTTTTCATAAGACTATGATGCTCAGGCACAAAGTTCCTCGACATGAATTGTTCGTGAACATTTTCGCGCCTGAATAAAAGCTGCTTTAATGGACTTTTGAGGCATGGGGATGTTTCGTACAGTATTACAGCTGGCTCGTTAATGTAATAGGTTCTTCGTCGTTCCTGTATTTTCTACGGTTTGGTAAATATATTTTACATCTATTTCGTTAATATGTATGTAAGTAAATGTGTGACCTTAATTTTTTTTTATGGCTTAAGCCGGTAAACGAGCAGACGGATCACCTGATGGTAAGCAATCGGGGTCGCCCATGACCACCTGGAACACCAGAGGCGTTACAAGTGCGTTACCGGCCTTCCAGGAATTAGGAGTTTGAGGATCGTTGGGGATTCAGGGATTGGGGAGATTGGGGAAGGGGAGGGTAATTGGGTCTCCGGTAACCTCACTCACACGACGAAACACAACGCAAGTGTGGCTTCACGTCAGTTTTTGGTGAAGCCGTGGTATCACTCCGGTCGAGCCGGCCCATTCGTGCCGAAGCATGGCACTTTAATTACAGATATGTGAAAGTTCACTGAACAATATAAGGATATTGATTTCGTATGATTGTTGCACTCTGTGTTTGTATAGGTACCTTACGCAAATGTTCCAGAATAAGTTCTTTGTTTTTTGAAAAAACATGTTTTTAATTTCGCACACAGGACTAATTATTGACGTCGACTGATATTTATGAATTGAGATATTAATAATTAAAGGCATTACACATCTTTGTATTACGGTACACAAATAATGTATGAAAACGTCAAAACATTATAATGAGGTCAATTTTTCAATGACTCGTACGTGCCTCAGATCGGGAATGATTATTTTGTTATTGACGTTTTCCATCTTTCCGAGAATATTCAATGCCAGACAATTTTATTTATTTACATTAAAGATATTGAATGTCGAGTTCAGGCTGCCGTGAAAGTAAATGTACACGCTCTGTATATTTACTTTACTATTTACAACTTCCCCTTGAACCGATGTGGCCACAAGATCACATTAGAATTTTTATTAACCCAACCGGCCATCTAATTACCGACACAGACATCTTTATCTTAACCTAGAAATAATGAAACACTGGATTCAACATCGATTTGTCTTTATTCAACTTTATGGTAACTAATAGTTTGTACTACAAGATTAAGTTTCAATATGTACAAAATATTTTCAAAACGTATGCGTAATCATAACGTTTAGTAAAATAGTTTAGATTTTAATAAAAGATACAGATTAATTAAGTAAATAAATAAATAAATGAGATTTTAGGCACTGCACGTGTTTAACATCATATCACATTCATGGGTTCTATTCAACGTACACCACATTTATTATTTCTAGTAAGCGTTTCCGTTCTTATAACAATTTATTATCAAAGATAATTTTTGAATTTAATTTCTCTACTAGAATTTACATTTATTAATAATAAAATTCATAGTGTATTGTTCCTGCAATACAGGTCCATAAACAACTATTTTATTCCGCTACACTCGAAGTCAACACATAATATGCCTAATTACAAGTATATTTAAAGTTCATATTTATACCAATTATTATGAATCATGAGGCAAAAATAGTTATCTAACAATCTCTATCTACTTAGACTATAGAAATATGTTTGAAACATAAAATAACAGTTATTCTAGAACTACTAGGTAGGTGTATTGCTTACATACAGTTTCAAACAATATATACAAAGTCAAAATGTACTGTTATAGGATTTCAGTAATTAGCTGTCATCTTTGTAATATCATAATAATATTTCTTTCTTATTTCACCGCTGTTTATCATCATGTCGGATAAATATACTAGTATTAATTATGTTTTGGAGTATCGTAAAAAACGTTGAGAAGGGTTTTTCTCATCAAGTGACGCCCACGGAGGTTGTACTTAAATAATATGTGAACTGAGACAGTTGTATGTGAAATCTTATTTTTTTTATAATGTACCTTTATAAGGAGACAGTACGACATTATTAGAGCATCGGATTTCATGAACACTTCATGGTTCACATCTCTACAATCCAATTAACACAGATATCATAAAATATGCGTTAAAAGACAGTGCCTATGGAAAAATTCTCAGAATATTTACTTCTATAAAATGTTTTAGGTATCACTTAATTAAACATTTTTAAATAATGTTCTCTTCATTACACTAATTTGGTCACAAAGGAGAGGGCTTATAATGTCCGAGTAAAAATTTGTTCTTCTATTAATTAATAAATTAATCGTTTGTTCTACATTATGACAATAGACATTGTTCATTTATCTTCTGACATTGTCACGGACAATACAGGTATTTGGCACGAAGTTATAGTTTACAAGTTCCAGTCATCTAACTCATAATACATATGAAGGAGTTAGTTTATTGGTTACCGATAACTTCAAAGGAAGACCACATCGTGTTTCTATATTTAGATATAAAACGTATTTTGAGATCAGGGGGAGATTTGGTACGAAGATGATTTATGCTTAGTATTGTCTTACATAAACACACCGAATTGACGGCAATATTTTAAAATGTATTATAAAATAGAGAACTATCTTATCGACAATATGGATAAATGTATGACATAAACGCCTTAAAATGTTTACAAAGCTTTCAAGGTCATTGCTTCATCTTATGCAAATGGAGCTATAACTCATCCCGATTTGTGATGTATGACCAGCTACATCCTATCGGGATGAAAGTCTAAAGTAAGAACTGCATGGATTATAAGAAAACTGTTAATATTTAAAAGCTTGTTTGACTAAAGACCACAGAACAATGTATTTATTAATTCGTACACGAATATGCAAAAAATGCGTCTTGCCATTCAATATCAGTAGCAAATTCTTATACATCGGACCCAAAATAATTCCCAACGTCTCTCTCTTTCGTTAAGCCTAAACAGTGACTAGATAAAGTAGAATTACAAACTAAACTAACAATACAACTTCTCGTAAACTTGATATGTACAATTGTTCAGTATGATGTCCTAGCCATACATACTAACTAGAAGATATTCGTAATGATATAGATAGATTTCGTTGATCAAGAAGTAGTGATAAAAATTACAAAGGTCGTTTTATAAAACGAAATACACTTATAAGATAGAATTTAAGGTAACCAAATGTACAATTAAACTAATGGCATTTATTATTTGAAGACTAAAGACTAATGAGCATATATTTAGACGAAATGGAATCATAAACTTAGCTGTTGATGTTAAACTTGAGGCTGCGAGTGCTGGGGTGCGTGGAGCGTGTGGCGAGCAATCGTTCCGAGGCTTCGCACAAGTCACTGGTCGAATACCTGCTGCGTCTCATAGTTGCATTTAACGTTTCTTTTTCTGCCGGTTTCTTTACTTCATTCTCTATTGACACTTCCAGGTCTTTTACACTTCCACTAGGACTTCTTACTGGTTCAAACTTCTCGCTTGTTGTGCTTGATGGTGTTTGGCTGCCTGCTTCCGATTCTATGATTTGTTCCAATGTGCTGGGCCGTCGACCTCGCGTGTCTGTGTAGTAGTCCACCGTACCCGGCATGACGGGCGCCAGGTTCGCCATTGGGTCGATGCCTAGCAGCAACATCACAGTAGCTGGGTGCTCCATAATGTACTGCGTGACGAGATGTAGGAAAGGCTCGGTTTGTGTAGTCTTGTGTACCTTTGGTCTCTCCGGCGTGAGAGGCCGTTCTTGCTGTTGGAGAAAAATAACAGTTATATTAAGTACACCAGGAAAAAATGGTCATATCTATAATCATTTGGTTTTACAATATTACTAACCTGATCCCAACAGAAGACATCAGGCGGATGACTACAGCTGCGAGCCAGTTGGTTCGGTGGAGCGTTCCACTGGAGATTAGGATTGGAATGTGCTGCGTGCCATCCTGTAGGTGCTGTCATTTCTTGTAACGCTTGGATGGCGTGGCGAACCTGATAGAAACATTATAAACACACCTTAAATATTTAGACCTTCAATTAAAGTACTAAAGTTTAACAGCTCCAAGTTCGAAGTGTACACAATTTTATGAGAATGTTCAAGTGTACTAATTCTAACCAGATATGCTTCAAAGTATTTGGAACTACTTTAAACAACCGGTATGAAATAGGTTATAAACAAATTTGATATTAGGTTGAAGTCGGTAAATGGGCTTGAGCTTATAGCACATCCTTATTCGAAGGCTGCATGATATCATTGCATTATTAAGGATCTAAGTCACGCGACTTGTGACAAACGGGTCGACGACGTGAGATTATAAGAATCGTGATGTCATTTTAACTTGCCTCCATGCTAAGCGCAGCCACGTCGTGATGCAAGCTCGATACCTGGGTGTCAAGCCTGTCCACTGACGACCTTGTATTATGTACTTCTAAATTGAGCCCCTCCAGCGAGTCGGCTCTAGATATTTTCGGCGTTGCTATAGAACGCTGTCTTTCTATTCTTTCACGCAATTCTCTATGAGAAAGGCGCGGCTGACCATCAGTCCTGAAAACATTCATAAGTTCAGAACATAATACATTAAAACACATTCAAAATAAAATAAAGGTATTACTGAACCCTCAGACATAAACAAAATAATATAACAAACAAGAAAATTTCGTTCAGAAGAACAATAGAAAACCATTTGCTTTGATAGGTGTATAAAACAGAACACGATGTAATAATTTAGCTCAGGAATTATTTTTATGGGCGTTGTTTAGAACCTGAATTTTGTATGCCGAGGGCTGTTTGTGTTTGACACGGGTAGTTTTTTGGGCGTGAGTGCTGTGTCTTCTGCAGCGTTCTCGTCGTCCTCTGATATTGAAGGTAGTGTGAGGGATGGGTGCCCGTTGCCATCAGACTCCGCTTCAGCCTCATATCCTTCCCGCAAGTTGTACGTGAGGTCATGCTGTATATCATGTATGAACTCTTGCTGGTACTCTGGATATAATCGCAAAGCTTCAGCCAAGCCACCCATGTGTATGCATTTTAAGTCACAGTAGGTTAGCGCCTGTTGAACATAACATACATGATAATTTGCTAATAATTCCTGCAATAATTTGAAGACATTTGATAAATTAATAATTCAGTTCACCTTAACATCGCTGCTCGATTTGACCACAACATCAGGATTATTCCCTTGCGGATGGGACGATCCTGTACCGTTGTAAGCTTGCAAATGGGTATTCATATCGCAACCCACCAAATCTCCTTTACCTATTTAATAAACGGCGTGTAAATATTTACGAACGTACGTGTTATAGAAGAAAGGGGCAGATGAATGTGAGGTATAAATAAAGGGTTCGTTTGTTGTGGAAGCGACTCACCCAGAATAGCGACGACCATGTCATTCTGCATCACTTCCATGGAACCGTTGCATATGTAGTAGATGTACGTTAGCGCGTCCCCTTTGTGGACGAGATACTCGCCGGGGGCACAAAAGTTGTTCCGTATGTGTAAAGACAGCAGCTTAAGACAACCTTGTGAAGCTGACTCAAATATTGGAAGAGATAATATCTCTCGATGTAAATGTAAAGACACATCGCCCCTCAACTCTTCGGGAAATTCTTTGAGAGTCTAAAAATAAACAAACCCTTCAAATACAGCTACAGGAAATATGTATTTTCTCATATGACTTCAAAGCGGCAGCTTAGATTTGCATTGACGTAAGTCCGTTCCTTCCTTGTACATGTAAATGAGATTTTATTAAATTGGATAAGGACGAGTCATTGTCGCACTGATGGTACTGTACTAGGTCGTAAATTTTTAACATTTCCATATAGATAAAATGAAACATGATCCTTTAAAATATGTTGTTCATTTGGAAGGTCATTGGCCTAGGCTTAGGGATAATTCCATGGGATATGTCCTCTTAAAATCCTTTGGTTACGGGACCCCAAAAATGTAAAGGGTTTAGTAAAAAATATATTTAAAAAATGTAGCACAGCTAAAGAGATTAAGTTTATCGCATTATATTTCGTTTCCAGCCCATTTAGCTCGTTTGGATTTCGGACGAACTTCAAAGCAGAGTTATCTTATCTGCGTATCACCGTACTTCCTCGCTGGTGTGTATTAAAGTGATGTATTTATTTTGAAAGTGTTTTATTTTAATACAATAATATTTTAAACTAGTTACCAAGCGTGGGTTGACTTTAATAAAAACAATAGGTTGGAAGGAAGCTTATAAATTATCAACGTGACTCACAGGCTTACAAAGAAAAATGATGTTCGTACACGTGTTCCACACAAAATATACGCTCTCAGGCACGAGACAAGCCATCCACGTATAAATAATTTACCTCATGTATATCGATGCCGTGATTTAACGACCACATGGTCTGGAAGTAGTCTTGCATCCGTTGCTTTAGTTCCTTCGGTACTTGGTTTATGGTGAGAAAGTCTTTCAGATCCCGCCACTTGCTTTGATACATGGAGCGGCGGGAGTACATTCGCTGTATGATAGCCGTCACGTTACCAAACACTACAGCGTGCATCAGTGCTAAAACAGTACAATAACGTAGTTGACAACTAGTCAAATTCAATACTTTTATAGAAACGTCAAAAATGATAGTGTTCTATGAATTTTGTACGAAATACCATCTTATGAGTTATGACGTCATAGACGTCATCATATTTTCGTGTCAAATAGCACACTTATATCTAAAAAAAATGCTAGAATATATCGAAAAATAAGCATTAAGCAAATCAATGAATGAAAGTGTAACTATTTTTCAATATTAAATTGGACTGAAAAATCAAAATAATTTATTTTTGACGCAGGAAACTACCCAATCGTCAGCTATATAATACGCGACAGGTTTTACCAACACGTTTTATAGTTTCGTGAAGTGATTATGAGGTTCTCGCTGTGGTTTCAAGCTCATTATTTGCACACCGCAAATATTTATCAGTGTTATTAACTACGTGCAAAATTTCATGATTAAATCGTTAATTATGGTGTATTTTAGAACGCCCGTATAAGTACTTGATATTAATCTACATTATGTTCCACTCCAATATATTGGGCCGGTCCCGATTTAGATTATGTCAGTTTAAATTAAACAGTCTCAACAAAAAATAGCAAGTGAGATCATGCAAAATTACCTATGTATGTACAAGCCATTTTCATTAATTTTTTGTTTGTATGCATTTTAACAGTCGAGTGTTATTGCCAAATCGGCCTAATTAATATGTATATTTTACAAGCGCATATTGGACAGTGCATTAAAGGCATTCAACCTGTATTGACGTATACTTTATTTGACAAACTCTCTCTAATTAATCTTGACATTCTATTGACATCTCTTGTGGAAGCTATTACAAGCTCGCACAGTTTGTTTTATTTTTACAGGTTGGAAAAATGTGCATATTAATTAGGCCGATTTGGCAATAACACTCGACAGCTAAAATGCATACAAACAAAAAATGTATGAAAATGGCTTGTACAACCTAGATAGTTCAAGAATAACATTTATTAGACAAACCCTTTACCTCCGATCAACATGGTGATAATACTGAAGATCTTCTCTGCGAGAGTATTGGCTGACACATTACCGAAGCCCACACTAGTAAGAGATGAGCACGTGAAATAAAGTGCCGTCACATAGCTCTCGCTGTGTGAAATGTTTGGAATCGGCACTTTCAACCTCTCCGCCAGATTGTTTATCCATCCTAGAATTAAACGAAGTAATATAAAGTTTCATCTCTGAGAATCTCATTCATGTATCGCACAGTTGGAGTTTGTGTAAATTAGAAATCTGTTCGTTGGATTGTAGAGGAACATTGATCAATGTATTGACTTTGTATTTGAATATTGGTATTGAAAATCATTTAAATTATCAATAATAGCATAAGAAAACAACATTAATATTTTCTTAAATATCTAGGTACTTAAAATAAATCAATACGAAATTACCTAAGTCCCAACTCTCGTTCTTATGAATTTCAATTTCCTTGTCTGCTATTATGAACCAGATGCAAGCGAGCCAATGAGCCAGCAAAGTGAAAGAGAGCATTAGTAACGTCAGTATCAAAGCCGAGTATTGCGAGTATCGATCCATCTTCTGCAGCAGCCGGGCCAGTCGTAACAGTCTTGTTAATTTCACTAAATGCACATTTCCGTGTGTCGACTCCTGTACGAACAAAGTCACTATTTAATTATACGTACCTGACTTCAAAGCAAAAACAAAAGGACCTTTACAAGGTACAGCAAACTGTGAAACGGTTGCTCACTAAAATACAAGTTGTTTCAGTTAGAACAATAAATAAATAATAACGCTGTTAATTAATTAGTCGGTAGTGTGAACTCACCGCCCCGCTGTATACGTCCGACGCATAAAGTAGGTCAAACGGCAGCGCCGCCAGGAGATCCACCACAAACCAGCTCCGGATGTAATTAAGGGCTATCGCCTTAGAATCAGAGACTACTTCGCCTTTCTTACTTACGAATGTCGTCCGGAAATTGAGCACTATATCTGCAAAACGCATACATCGAGTGTAAAACTTTCCGTTATAGGATATTAAAAAGTTACTGAAGTGATTTACCGATAATGAAGAGCGCTTCTACCACGACATCACTCGTCACACTTATCCTGGGGTGGCCTTCGTCAACGAAACTGGCATTGTACGGAACCACTACTGCCACATAAAACGTGGCTATTAAGATCAGCCAATCCCAAAATGTTTTGAACACCCCGTAGTGAGAAATTATAAATCTAGACTTTTTTAATGCTGACGTTTTATATTCAGGCAACGGAGGGTCCGATGAGTGTAATAGATTCTGAAATAATTTACATAATTTTATTGCAGCTCTTAAAATTCAACTGTTTTATTAAAATTATTTCGGCATCCCAAGCATATTTTATGAATGAAAGTTTTCAAGTACTCGGGAGCCGTCCCAAACCGGAAGGAGCGGATGCGGCCACCCGAGTACCTACTGTAGCGGAAAACTAAATACGTCCCCCGGTATAAAATAAAGTTTACCTTACTAACATTGTTGAGTTTTAGTTTCGTCTTCATTTTATCCGGTTTATAATGTCCTGAAAGCTGGTATAGTACCGCCCTAGAGCGTCGCCTGCCCATGTTCGCGGGCGACGGCGCTTCGGGGTCAAGATTGCCATTCGGGTCTGGAAGTAGGCAACTAGATTCAGCGCGGAACCGGGCGCCCAAGAGTGCCGCTGCGGGTACAAATGGGGATAACGCTAGAGTGACCACGCCAGCCGAAGGCCGCACCGCGGCTCCTGCATGCATAAACCACCCTGTTACACAGTGGACCACTGGCCAAGTACCAGCTACGAGTAATGTCTACTTATTATGAGGAAACTCTGCCCCTTCAATGATTTTCTTATAAATCCGTATGAAAGACATTTCTTGGTGTTGTCATAATTAAAATTTACCTAATTTGTTGCAAATCACTGAAGTGTAATATTTGAAATGAAAGCGAGTTTTGAGGAAAATATACCGGAGTAAATAAGATACAAGAATTATCTTCTCAGATTGTATATAAGAAAATCTCATAAGTAGGCAGTAATGCTGCTTTGATACCGCGAAAGTTCGAAATACCGAAGTATAAAATTATCGGTTTTATAATGTGAAAACTTTGATTGAATTATTTATTAGGTTATTTCTATTCATGTGCCGCGCAAACAAAGCGGCCCAGATAAAACTTTATTAATACACAAACACAATGATGATAAGTACCGATAGTAAAGTTAATGATGCGGTTATTACGATTATTATGATTTGGAACTTTCGCGTGTTTGTATCAAAAACAGAATGTCGCCAGAAATAAAAGTAAGCGAGTACCAAGCAGCCTACAGTGCGACAATTGAAATATTTGAAGATCATTATCCTTCGAAACAAATAAAAGAAATGTTTCAAAATACAAATTGGTGACAAACATTAAGTACCAATAATATGAAAAAGTAAAGTAAGATAGAAATGTAAGATAAAATTTTCAAAGCTCGAGTAAGCGAGGGGAAAGAGCTAATTTATCTATTTTAAATCCATTGAAACTAAAATGTAGCTTGTACAGAATTTTATTGTAACTAAAAATCGCAAATAAAATGCAATTTAGGCTCTTTATCTCACAAATTAAACGTTCTAATTTATTAATTGTTGTTTTTGTTAGTACCTAAGTATTATATTTATTTGTATTACTACTAAATCATAATGAATGCTAGCATATAAAATGCACTGAATATAGAGGTAGATAAACAATGGCTTTAATAAAACAATGAAAAAGCCACTCTGTATCTACCTAATTACTACAACAACCTACCTTTGATTAAAACGTATAATTCATATTTCAAGTAGTACATAATTAATTGAACTTTTACATAAAAATTCCATTAGAGGACAAAAGGTATTTACCTAAGAGTACCTATATCCTACAATCAGTAAGGGACGGATCACTTAATCCTCAATTTGTAGACAAGCACTCTTCTGACTTGAAAACTTTTCGTAATTACACAAAATGGCCACACTCTGTAGTCATTACAAGGCTGTTTAGTTTAGTTCCTAAATTGAGATCATTAAAAGAAAATTTTCCCGTTTCGCCCATTGTTATAATGAGCCATGCGGTTTTCTATTAAACTTTTGGATTTGTATTGGGTAAGTACTTACATTTTAAAACTATACGTACCTACTTGTTTGTTTATAAAGTGGTTTGAAGGTTAACTTGTATAAAGCGTTTAAAATTTCTTTTTGAAATAATAGGATTACAATTTACCGAAGAAATTAATTTTCAACTATACATAACATATAATTTTCAAATTTTACTAAACTATGGCTTACTTAGGTAGTATAGGACTGTAGACAATAAACGTATTAGTTGCTCCCTTTGTCTGTGTTTGGCTTGTTTAATTATTCTGTATTTTATACCAAATTCTTATTGTTTATCCATCATGAAATACATTTTCGGTACAAAGATTGTAATTTGTACTTCATTGCTATTGCTCCTTTTTATTTTTTAAATAATACAGATCACAATCTATTAAAACAATGAAATTCTTGATTACAAAAAAGTTTGTATTTTTTATTGAAATGAAAACACTAGCCGTTATTTGTGAAAATATTTACGAAATTGCCATTTACACAATAAAAAAAGTAAAAAAAGGTTTTTAGTGGCGTCAAAATATTTTTTTGTTACAAATTGCCAGTAATTATTTCAAAATGTCAAAAATATTAAAAGAGGTTTTATAAAAATAAATATAGAAGTATTTTTTTGATAAAGATATTTGTTTATTAAAAGGCTGTTTGATGATGGATGTAAATAGATAGGTATTTAGTTACGAGCATATTTGGAATATTAAGAAAAAATCGAATTTCCTAAATTTTGTTCTCGTAAAACTTGTTTAATGTAATGAAGTTATTGATTTATAGACACGGTTAGCAACTACAATGGCTTGTCTTAAATATGCTAAACAATAAATTAACATAATAACACCAACGCACTAAGCCTCATGAAATATTCTACAAATAGGTACAACAATAAACCTAGAATACAAAGGACATTCAACCTTAGCATCCCTCACTAAATGTATTATTTATTTTGCTATTTATAATCTTAAGTACACTATTTTTGCACTAAAATTGGTGAACAGTGGTAAACATTAAAACTCGTATCGTAACTTTTAAATATAGTTAGTAAACTAAAGTTGTTATAAATCGAATAGCATTGTAAGTTTGTAAAAACCACATAAGTATTGTATTTTAAATAGTAAGTGTGTAGAGAATTCAGCCATGCTTCAAAACATGCTATCTAAAAAAGTGTGATTGTGAATATTTATTTGTCTATGGTTCATACCTATGCTTAACTGATAATACAGGCCTACGGAAAGAAAAATAAAATTTTCGAAAGAAAAACATTTCAATTTTTTAACTGTTTTAAGTTTTATATTGTGTAGACATAACTTATTATGCCAATGAGTATCGTATGGTTTATTTTTGGAAGTTTTTTGTGGCATATCGCAACCCGTTATGCAACACTACAATATAGAACACCATAATAATATGCTGCTACAAGATTTGCTTGCAAATAACTTATTCAGCATTTCTATGTATAAGTTTTCTCCTATTTAAAAAGATAAAAATGCCTGTATAGACAGTTACAAATGTAAAAAAAGTGAATGTGCAAAGAAAAGCATAACAGTCCGTTTTATTGGAAAACGTAGGTATGCAAAAATGTTAGTTTAGTTTGTCATGAGTTCATGCTATGCGGGTAATGCATCACTGGGGTGAGGTTAGTGCCATGCAGCGGGTACGAACCCAGGCTCCGAGCTACTACGGATGTTTATTACAATAAACCCAGCAGTAGTATCACGGATCGGATATCGTAACCACGATCTCGTGTTTACCAGTCACACTTGCGACCATTTAGACCAACGAGGCAGTATTAAAAGAAAAGTATAAAAAATAATGTAAAAACTAAAATAGTTATGTAGATATTGCGCAAAGTATTGACCATGAAATAATAATTGATAAAACGCAACTGGCGACATGTTCATTCAATTTGGATCAAATATGGGGTTAGTAATTGTTGTTATTCAAAAGTTAGATCGAATACAGGGTGGTTTCAATTAATTCGATACACAAGTTTGTGGTATTCAAAGGGTATTTGAATACTTGAACAAACAGCCAATGCTTCAAGTTTTATTAGACATTGTTGGTAACCGTTATAGCTAATAGAATTTCAAATAAGGAACCTTTAAACTGTGTATCTGATTCTACATAGCGAATTGACTTGAAATTAAAAATAGAACATGATTTTTTTTCGAATTTAAACTTGTAGCATTTGCTTAGTTTAAATTGTAAAAAGGTAGTATTAAAAAGTATTGAAATATAATAAAAACTAGTAAAATGCTATTATTATTGTAAATAAACCTACATACATTTGTTTGAACGAGGTCCTTTGCTAACAGATCAGCGGTAAGTTCATCTTCATTAACTTAAAACGTGTTCAGTGATGCATTTGTAGTTACAAAGGTAAACAGTTTAATCATATTCACTACGGAACTCACTAACTATAGTTCTACCTATCTATGTTCTACTCAGACTTACTAGTGCTGATTCTGGTTGGTGTCAACTAAACTTTTTTTCTTTGTGATTCAACCCGCAAGGGATGGTCCGTAAATTCAGATTTCATGTTCTATGAGTACAAGAAAGGTTCGTTTATCTGTTCTTTTCTTTCGATAGCAAAAGATCAATATTTTCAGTGTTGGTTCAGCAGACACAAAAGAATAAGCACTATTGCCTGTCTAGCTACTCTAATGACAGAAGTCTACACAGTGGGTACGATACAATACTCGTAAAGGAACTTTACCGTGCGGTGATGCTCGCAACTCGCTATGGCAACGGGGAGCTACGGGAGCTCAATCTAATGCTATCAACCTTATGGATGTACCTATAGCACTAGAACAACGTGCTTAGTGATGAGTTAATACAAATGCACAACTGTCAGCATCCTCGAGAAAATATCTCATAAGTAAGTGTTCAGAAGGCTTCGGGACAAGGTCACTATTTAGAAAGTACTTGTTATAATTTTTATGGGTTGCATTTTGTTAAGAAGTCTCAAGTATCATCATTACAAAGGCACTCACCGCTGTCGAAGTTCTCATTAGTGTTCATGGCGGCCATCTTGGTGTTGGTGATATCCTTGAAGGAGGCGAGAAATAAAACCACTTCTCGTTTCTCATTCTTAATTGGGACGATGTCGAGCAGGCACCAAAAGGGAGATCCTGTAAAGTTTAATGAATGTTAATTTCTGTTCGGATTCAAAGGAAGAAACCGATGTCTTACAAAACATTGATTATGTATGAATGGAGCATCCAATTTTCGCGACCTTAATGTTCCGTGAAACGTTTACCGGACGTCATTTGAAGTATTCCTTAATATAGTGTCGGTTGAGTGTCGTTCTGGAGCACTTAATGCTGGTGACGAGGAACAGCTGGCAGCTTGTAAAAGTTTAATTTTGTCGAATGGAATCGTAAACCTCTTATTGGTTTTGTTTACGATTGTGGCGTGGACGACGTTTTGCAAAGCCATAAATGCAAAGGATCGAGGGCTGAATTAAAAGTCTTTCTTCTAAGTACTCGGGGTTTTATGACTGCGAGTGCTTTTTAATTTATTATGTAAATATCATAATATTTTTGGGTTCATATAATTTTGTGTCCTTTGACACTGATTTAATTAGTAGGTCAGTGTGTCATAGACTTTTGTTGTTATCTTATTCAATCGTTGATGTGTTCTATTTTCGTCTAAAGCAGAAGTTAAACTTTTATTATAATAAACATTATTACTGTTTATAATTATTACAGCAGAGTTAAAATGCAGGTGGATTTTTGTAACTTACTAAAAGGTGTGCCACGTAGCTAACTTCAGCACAAAAATCTTAGACTCGAACGTGCAACTTTATAAGCTCTGTAATTTTTTCCACGAATGCAATTTAACGTAATGCTTTGATATTTAGTTTGGAAAACTAACTAGCAATGTAATAATCCGTTTAGTGTTTAATGTTTATTACGTAGAGTTTACTTTTGATCGTTTTTTTGATGCTGTTTCAGAACTTATAAAGGTTGTCATTTTCTTCGGAAATACTTAGTTAAGATTTAGCAACAATTTTGTTAGAAGGTTCAGAAATCCTTTTTGCTGTAGTGTGCTAACGTCATAATAAGAACATTAGTAGAAAGTACTGTGTTGTTAACATTCATGCAACACCAATTCGTGATTAGGATTGTACTTAAGGTCTCTGGAGGTCTGGTGGAGCTCGTGAAAGCTTTTTAAGTGTCAATTCAGGCATCTAGGTTTAGTAGTTACAAAATAGCTCAATGACTTCTAGGCTGTTATTGAACAGTGTGTTCCAGTTTGCCCCTATTATTTAGGACTCAGGAAAATTGGATTATATTGTTCCATTTTGAGAGAATATTATCGATACTATCGATAGAATATAAGGTAATAGTCTTTCTACTTACCATTTTTCTTATAAAATATAAGTTCTAGTTTCAGTTCGTGTTTTGCTTCTAGCGCGGCGTCGATCTCATGTCGATGTTCATCGCGTGTGTCTGGGCCGTGGAGGAACTTGCACGCGCAGCCCTTCTGCATGATGTGCGCGCGTGCCCACCCTGTCAGCTCACAAAACCCGTCTGAGCAGTACACGATCGGGTAGCACGGCACCTGAGCGTTGCCCAACACGAAGTTGCTGTCTGTGAACGAGAAAATAGCAAAGATAAGGAAATCATTAGGTATTTCAAAATGAAAACAAATATATAACGGTGATATTTTTGCAATATAATATTGGATTTAACTTGATATTGAACATTTTGAAACAATAAATCATATTATGTGTTTGGTCGCGTGTCGATGTCGTCAAAGCTATGTTGATTCGCGTTTACACGTTCCGTGATGTTTTCCTCTTAAAATCAGATTAACACAATTGGCTTTCTAATCTCCGCTTTGAGCTAACACTAAAACAACGTGTTAGCTAATGTAATTAATTACACTTGTGATAGAGCTTTGTCCCAACTGTTACTATAGTGGCTCTCCATTTACTTACCTGATTGTAATGGATTTCTGGACGTACAAAAGATTTTGTGTAGAGATCTATCTACACAAACTTTTGGGTCTTTATTAGGAATTTAGTCCCTATAATTCAATCTACGTCTTAATAGATACAAATCGAGCACGACGTACTGAATGTTTCTAGGTTTACGTTTATTTCGGCATTGGATTCGCGGTGTTTCATGTGACGTCATTCTGAGATCACCCCGCTGCATAAGCTTATAATGTAACTTCATACGTTTAGATAGAATGGAATAGCTTAGGTTAGCCATCAAAACGTTTACCACAAAGCCACAAACGTCTATGCGTTTGTGAAGTTATAAATTAATGCACAAGGTATGATGAATTTAGAGCTGTTAGTTTTTTAGAGTGTGTCTTGGTATTACATAGGCGGTTTGATAAGTCAGTCACTTTTTAAATTTCCCGCGCAGTTATTCCAAATGCAACAGTGCTGCCATCAACTGTAATCTATTAGTCAGTAGTAGGGCAACTGTCAAATTTTAAGCAACGTACATGAACAAAATGATGATGAATGCTGCTCATGAATATGAGCCAAGAGGCTATGGCTTGAAAGTTCCATGAGTAAGCCGAAAAATATAGTAACTAATTTAGTATGTTTCTCGGTAGTTAGGTACATTTATATTATACCTACATTTGTGTAGATATAGTACGACGACGTTAACTTAACAAAGCATTTTATTTCGAAATAAACTTTGGAATTATTTTGTGCAGAACTCTATATTCATTTCTGTAAACGCGCGTAACTACGTAGGGTACTGTAGTACGAAAATTCGACTTCACGTCAGTTCTTTTCCAGACTTTTGTTCCTAGCTTTCACAATAGCGAGGATTAATTCGACCGTATTCACTGGTGTTTTATGAGGAACGGGAATTTTATTCAGTTTTTGGGATATAAAATGCACGTGCAAGCACATTGAATATTTATAAAAGCGTTCGTGTGCAGGTTAGGTTAAAGTTTTGATTGCTCTCGAGTGCCCGGTGGGTGCCCCGCCCCACACATTTAAGCGGTGAGTGGGTTATGAGCGTTTAATCCCGGAACTTTGTTCATAGCATTTCCAGTAAATGTTTGCACCCAAGAGACGTACCGACACACCGTCTCCATTTTTTATGAAGCCCCAGCTATTACTAGAATACAGAATTCAGGTTCAAGTAAATAATAACGCTATTTATTATAATGGATCGATTCTCCATCTACTTTATCATTTTCTGTCTTATCAAAATGATTGACAACATAATATACTCTGATACCCATCCAGTATTTTGTATTACTGACAGGATTCGAAGAAATGAACAATTTTTTTATTTGAATAACCCAGAAATAGTCACAATGTCTGTGACCAAACTAATGAAAAACTACCTAATCCAATTCAGCTATACAAAGTTAAGGAAAGGCCCCTAAAACTAATCTTTGAATAAGGAAAATAGATATTTTTCATAGGCAGAATATTTGCGGATGAAATTCAATATTACTGACGTCGTTATAAGAAACTGTGCTCGATTTCATGCGTAGTGTGTGTAGCATTTAGTACTTATTTAGATAAAGTGACGTCACACGTATTACGAACCAAATAGAAAGGAATATTATATTGACTGTACAGTTGCGTTAATATTAGAGTAATTTCCCTTAACTGCAGTTGCTTCACCAGTAACTCGCTCGATTATGGTTGGCTAACTTCGGCGCCCAATTTGAGACCTTCAGAACTATGATTACAGATCTCGTATATTGGAAATATTATGTCTGCGTGAGATACGTAATCCTCATACAGGAATAGAAATGTCAATGTAGGATTAATGGTCTATAGACCTAATATCGAATCTCAACGACAAAATATTGTTTTCCTGAAATGTGTTTCTACCTCTATACTTTAGTTTCTACCTCTTCGCTATACATTCTATTTATTTTTATTTTATTTTCATCCATGATCATCCCACTGCTGGGCAAAGGCCTCCCTATCGTCCTTCCACTCCTCGCAATATATTCACTAAATAGTAATCTAATATATCTAAGATTAACTAAAATTATTGTGTACCTATACCAACTACTGGGAATACGAAATGAAAGTCCTGACCAACGAAATACAAAAATTATATCTATGGTCGACTGCCTTAATTGTTGGCCGAATGGTCGCAAGTGCGACTGCTGGGTCTCGGGTTCGATTCCAGGGTCGGGCAAAGTATTACTAGGTTTTCTAAAAACAAAAAATCTCAGTGGTAGCACGGAGTCTGGAATTGTGCCCGGTATATGGCAATAGGCTCACCCCCTATTACATGGGATTCATAACATAAATAGTGAAAAGTGGATGTTACATTGTACAGTAGCATTAAGTGCCGTATAATGTGCACCTCTGCTTACCTCTTCGGGGATAAAAAAGCGTGATGTTATGTTGTACCTATGGTCCTAATAATACCATTTCTCAATTTAGATAACCAGTTCTTAATTAAAATCCTCAAATAACTTCAGTGTTATAGCCCTGTAATAACAAACAATTTGAGAACCGTGAACTATTTCGAACAATAATTGAGAGGAAGTCATATTGATTTTCGTTTTGCTCCAACGGTGAAGGAATTTGGAAAATGTGGATAGAACTGCATTCCTACAGAATTGGGCTGCGTGACAACCCTGATCTTACTTCCTTATAGTCTCCCTCGAGTTATAGATACAGGTACACCCCTAGTCACAAAGTTCACGGTACCGTTAACGTGAAAAGAGTATTTTTATGGAATTTATTTTGATAGCCGACAAACTGAGGTATCGAGAAGATGATGAAATTGTGTTTTACATTACTGTTCATTTTTTTACGAGTCAATACATGATGTATTGAATTGTCCACGTATAATATATGTGACAGAAATGAATCGTTATATAGATAATGCGTATAATGATGTATAACGTATTATTCTTTCCCATTAAAAAAGATTACTTATTAATCAATCATTCCAAATCTCTACCTGATATACAAGATAATTATTTTGACTTAGATTTTGAATTAATCATCTATTAGATGATACTGTATTCTATATAGAATCTACACTTAAAAAACACAGTTCAATGAAATGATAAAATTAGGGACTTATTTGACGTTTTATTCACAGGAGACATCCATAATAAAATAAATCAATCTCTTGATTTGATTTGAACGTTGACTCGTTCATTAGTACGTATCTCAGTCTGTATTTGTAGATTATAAAAATATTGTATAATTTATGAAGAGAAAGCAATTTACGTTTCTGCTAACTATACAGACTATATTCTCTAAAATGGATTTCTTCCGGCCATAAATTACTTTAAGAACATAAACAAAGACGATTAAAACGTTGCAGTTTGCTAAATAATCTTCACTTTTATTTTAGTTTCCTCTAATGTTTTCGTATTGGGCGGTTTTCAAGATAAAATGTTTAACTGTAGCTTGCCATCACAGTCGCTGCTGTGGCTCCAGCGTTCCAACAACTTTCACCACTGACAAATTGTTTCAACTGTCGAAAAACCCGCGTCAAAGTCAAAATTAACTCCGTCCCCAGCTACTTTTTAATTAAATAATGAAAACAAATTACTTACACACCAAAGGTAGTTTGTTTTAAAAATGATAATGGTAGTATCACTTTACACAATTAGTAAGGGAGCAAAGTTTTTTAATGAACTCTTAAATAAGACAGGAGAGATTCTCTTTTTTATATGTGCTAATATTTATTTTAATTTTGTATCTCGAGAGTCTGAGGGGTGGAGGACGACAAAAGAAATGAAGGTGAAAGACAGGGATAAGTATGTAAATCACCGTACACAAAGTTGAAATAAAAGAAAATTCTGGTCATGAATGATAGCCTGTTTATATGAATAGAAGAGAGTGTAAAAATTAGAAGCAGTTGCCCTGGTCTCTATAGGTAGTATATATTACAGCTTTCTTATCTTCCAATCATATCAAATTCATATCAAAGAGCCATCAAACCACCACGGATGGGGCCCAATACGGCTGATGCCGATTCGGAGTCGCGGAGAACCTAACGGATTACCGGGGCTCCGGCTCGAAGCGCAGGAGAAGGAACAGGGTAATTTTTAGTCAGTAAGAGTCTGACACTTCCTCCCGCCTCACCCAGGCGGAAGCAGTCATTCGATGATTTTCCCCCCTTAAAAAAAAGTCTTATCTTGAATTGTTTCAACTATTGGGTATTTTATTGTCTCTCAATTCAATGTGCCTTTTTGCAAAGAGGCACACTGGTCTTTATTAGTCCCCGATTAATATAACTCCAAGAAAATATATAGATACTAAAAATCTGTTCCGTTTGTTTGTCTGGTATATAGTCCTTAACCACTGGTCTACAACCGGTCGTTAATCATACCTAGTAACTCCAGATAAGGACAGGAAGAAAATTATATCATAATTTCAAAGTTGTGCATAGAAATTAAATTTAATCTTTTAGATATGAAAATGTAGGAGTTATTTGAGGCTCAAAATATACTAAAGTAACTGGCCTGTAAGTCTACAACGGTATTAATATTGTAACAAAGGGCCATAATCATTGGATTTGATCAAATTAGACCAGTTGAGCATAAAGCTAATATTTAATGCTTTGTTTCATTAGGCACTTTAATATTATAAGTAGCCTTAATATATAATTATTACGTAATT